ATAGAGCCTTAAAACCAAATTTGGGTCCCCTATAGGCAGATGGATGGCTCAGAATTACGTTTTTCCACTTCCTAGGCCTTCTACAAGATGAATTGAATTAATTTTTTGTGGCACTTTCGTTTTTCGCGATTATCTCGGAACCTATGAGAGATAGAGCCTTAAAACCAAATTTGGGTCCCGTATAGGCAGATGGATGGCTCAGAATTACGTTTTTCCACTTCCTAGGCCTTCTACAAGATGAATTGAATTAATTTTTTGTGGCACTTTCGTTTTTCGCGATTATCTCGGAACCTATGAGAGATAGAGCCTTAAAACCAAATTTGGGTCCCGTATAGGCAGATGGATGGCTCAGAATTACGTTTTTCCACTTCCTAGGCCTTCTACAAGATGAATTGAATTAATTTTTTGTGGCACTTTCGTTTTTCGCGATTATCTCGGAACCTATGAGAGATAGAGCCTTAAAACCAAATTTGGGTCCCGTATAGGCAGATGGATGGCTCAGAATTACGTTTTTCCACTTCCTAGGCCTTCTACAAGATGAATTGAATTAATTTTTTGTGGCACTTTCGTTTTTCGCGATTATCTCGGAACCTATGAGAGATAGAGCCTTAAAACCAAATTTGGGTCCCGTATAGGCAGATGGATGGCTCAGAATTACGTTTTTCCACTTCCTAGGCCTTCTACAAGATGAATTGAATTAATTTTTTGTGGCACTTTCGTTTTTCGCGATTATCTCGGAACCTATGAGAGATAGAGCCTTAAAACCAAATTTGGGTCCCGTATAGGCAGATGGATGGCTCAGAATTACGTTTTTCCACTTCCTAGGCCTTCTACAAGATGAATTGAATTAATTTTTTGTGGCACTTTCGTTTTTCGCGATTATCTCGGAACCTATGAGAGATAGAGCCTTAAAACCAAATTTGGGTCCCGTATAGGCAGATGGATGGCTCAGAATTACGTTTTTCCACTTCCTAGGCCTTCTACAAGATGAATTGAATTAATTTTTTGTGGCACTTTCGTTTTTCGCGATTATCTCGGAACCTATGAGAGATAGAGCCTTAAAACCAAATTTGGGTCCCGTATAGGCAGATGGATGGCTCAGAATTACGTTTTTCCACTTCCTAGGCCTTCTACAAGATGAATTGAATTAATTTTTTGTGGCACTTTCGTTTTTCGCGATTATCTCGGAACCTATGAGAGATAGAGCCTTAAAACCAAATTTGGGTCCCGTATAGGCAGATGGATGGCTCAGAATTACGTTTTTCCACTTCCTAGGCCTTCTACAAGATGAATTGAATTAATTTTTTGTGGCACTTTCGTTTTTCGCGATTATCTCGGAACCTATGAGAGATAGAGCCTTAAAACCAAATTTGGGTCCCGTATAGGCAGATGGATGGCTCAGAATTACGTTTTTCCACTTCCTAGGCCTTCTACAAGATGAATTGAATTAATTTTTTGTGGCACTTTCGTTTTTCGCGATTATCTCGGAACCTATGAGAGATAGAGCCTTAAAACCAAATTTGGGTCCCGTATAGGCAGATGGATGGCTCAGAATTACGTTTTTCCACTTCCTAGGCCTTCTACAAGATGAATTGAATTAATTTTTTGTGGCACTTTCGTTTTTCGCGATTATCTCGGAACCTATGAGAGATAGAGCCTTAAAACCAAATTTGGGTCCCGTATAGGCAGATGGATGGCTCAGAATTACGTTTTTCCACTTCCTAGGCCTTCTACAAGATGAATTGAATTAATTTTTTGTGGCACTTTCGTTTTTCGCGATTATCTCGGAACCTATGAGAGATAGAGCCTTAAAACCAAATTTGGGTCCCGTATAGGCAGATGGATGGCTCAGAATTACGTTTTTCCACTTCCTAGGCCTTCTACAAGATGAATTGAATTAATTTTTTGTGGCACTTTCGTTTTTCGCGATTATCTCGGAACCTATGAGAGATAGAGCCTTAAAACCAAATTTGGGTCCCGTATAGGCAGATGGATGGCTCAGAATTACGTTTTTCCACTTCCTAGGCCTTCTACAAGATGAATTGAATTAATTTTTTGTGGCACTTTCGTTTTTCGCGATTATCTCGGAACCTATGAGAGATAGAGCCTTAAAACCAAATTTGGGTCCCGTATAGGCAGATGGATGGCTCAGAATTACGTTTTTCCACTTCCTAGGCCTTCTACAAGATGAATTGAATTAATTTTTTGTGGCACTTTCGTTTTTCGCGATTATCTCGGAACCTATGAGAGATAGAGCCTTAAAACCAAATTTGGGTCCCGTATAGGCAGATGGATGGCTCAGAATTACGTTTTTCCACTTCCTAGGCCTTCTACAAGATGAATTGAATTAATTTTTTGTGGCACTTTCGTTTTTCGCGATTATCTCGGAACCTATGAGAGATAGAGCCTTAAAACCAAATTTGGGTCCCGTATAGGCAGATGGATGGCTCAGAATTACGTTTTTCCACTTCCTAGGCCTTCTACAAGATGAATTGAATTAATTTTTTGTGGCACTTTCGTTTTTCGCGATTATCTCGGAACCTATGAGAGATAGAGCCTTAAAACCAAATTTGGGTCCCGTATAGGCAGATGGATGGCTCAGAATTACGTTTTTCCACTTCCTAGGCCTTCTACAAGATGAATTGAATTAATTTTTTGTGGCACTTTCGTTTTTCGCGATTATCTCGGAACCTATGAGAGATAGAGCCTTAAAACCAAATTTGGGTCCCGTATAGGCAGATGGATGGCTCAGAATTACGTTTTTCCACTTCCTAGGCCTTCTACAAGATGAATTGAATTAATTTTTTGTGGCACTTTCGTTTTTCGCGATTATCTCGGAACCTATGAGAGATAGAGCCTTAAAACCAAATTTGGGTCCCGTATAGGCAGATGGATGGCTCAGAATTACGTTTTTCCACTTCCTAGGCCTTCTACAAGATGAATTGAATTAATTTTTTGTGGCACTTTCGTTTTTCGCGATTATCTCGGAACCTATGAGAGATAGAGCCTTAAAACCAAATTTGGGTCCCGTATAGGCAGATGGATGGCTCAGAATTGCCTTTTTCCACTTCCTACACCCTATACAAGATGAATTGAATTAATTTTTTTGGCACTTTCACAAGTGATCCATACACAAACTTCACGCATGCGTGGGGTGTACGGAGTGTACGGGAGTGATTCACGCAATGGTGCGAATAGTCACGGCCTAATTTCTATCTATGAAATTATTTTATCGACTGGATTATCGCATTGTTGAGTCAATGAAGTAGTTTAATGAATAAAAAAATAATTCCAGGAAAAAACACAATTCTAAAGATTCATATAAATGCAGGGGTTCCGTTTCCCCTTAACCAGAAATTGGTCACCCTACGAGGAAAACACCGCCGCGTGTCGTTTTTCTTCAATTAAAATTGACTGGTTCACCGGAAAAATTAAAAAAAAATTGACTTTGACAATTGCAGTGTCTAAAAAATTATAGTAGTTTTTAGAACAACGTATTTCCCAAAATTCCTAAAGAAAGCAAATTATTTCGGACAGATGAATTATTTTTTCCCATGTTAAATGAAATTGCTCATGACGCGACGTTGCCGGAAACTCGCTAAACGCGCCCGGGCAGTGTAGAGTGAATTTGGCGTCGCTGAAGCCTAAATAACACGGCGGGGAATCCCCGCGGAGGTGACCAAGTCGCAGGGTCGTGTGTGGTGACCAGAGTAGGGTTAAGAGTTCTAGAGAATCCGATATTCACAGATGAATTTCGAGGAAGAATAAATAACTTGCATGGAGCTCAGTTTTTCCTAATTTCCCTGATCACCCGTTCTACATAACCTACAGGTAGCTACACGAAAGGAATGATGGAGAAATATTGCCGACATATTTTATAATTGATCGAAAACCAGACCTTGAAATCTATTACTACAGTCATGACTTCACAAAGTGGAACAAGGAATGCTGGGTAATGTAAGGCGAGAGGAGAGTTGCCGTCATTCATTGGATAAGGCGCACGTAAAGATTGGGTTAGGTTGGCTCGAGCCACTCTGTGATTGGTCCAGCGTTCGATCACCCTTGTGACGTCATTAGCGATTGCAAAACGGTTGAAATCTTCCACTCTCGACAATCAATTATTAATTAACGATCAATATTTAATTTTTAATATCTATAAATGAAAAATTTATGATTTCGGGCCGAAACTTGAGATTAAAAAATGTTAAAAAATCATGCAAGATCCCTATTATACAAATATTTGTAGTTTTGCAGAAGATTAGTTGTTTTTTTGTAAATCATGAAATTCTTTGCAAAAAAGATCTTTAGATAAATTTCTCTAAAGATGAAGATCCAAATTAAAGAATCTACACATATTTTTGTGAGATACATTGCCAATGTTTAAAATTTGCAACTGCCAAGTCGACTCGTTGTTCATCAGTTTGCTTTTTTTTATCGATTCCGATTGTCAGATGTTATTTTTATTCACACGTTTTTCGTCTTATCACTTGAATAATTATCGTCAAGCATTGTGGAATGGAACAAGATCTCTGTTCTCTTTCTGAAGTAAAACCGAGCAGAATTAAGATTTTCAATTGATTGAATCGGGAAAATACTCCTCAACTGATTTTTTGTATGCTTCATCTGTGTTTGCTATTCTTACTCTGTTCAAGGTATTTTTCATGGGTTCTTTGACGCCTGGGTGGACAGTAGATTAATCAGTACCCCATAAATCACGATAAAAGAAGAAAGGCATATATTTGACGAATTGCAAGGCAATTAATTCTCACCTGTACGTGCCCTTGCTCTGGGGGCTCTCATAATCGATTCGCCTACGTTTGTGCTCGAACTGCGGCTCATTCGCTGAATGAGAACGAGACCTCGAGTGGGTACGCGAGCGATGACGCCTTCTGGTTCTCGGCATCTGAAAAATCAAGAGTTTTCATCGGTTATTTTCCCTACTCGGGGGATTATTGATATCATCGATGTTTTATATTAGAGATAAAGATACCAGATGAAGATACCAGACGAGTAAATTTTTTATATGCTTGCATCAACAGAGACTCCCACCGCGAAATAATGCAGGATGAGGAATATGGTAGTGAAAGTAGGGAATTGGTTGAACATACTTAATCTCGAATTTTGCCATTTTTTTAATATTTGGAAATTGTTGGAGAGAATCAAAAGATTCCTCTCGAAATTTTCTCTTTAAGGATATCCAAGTATCTGCTACGGTTTGGTAGACCACACTATGAATTCAACCATTTTCAATCATCAAATTTGTCAATTAAATATTGAGTGAACAAAATTTGAAAAAAATCATGAATACGAACACATTTTTTATGATTCCAAACAAATGATTTTTATGGTGGAAAATTGATTGTTTATAAATTATTCATAGGAAATGCTCATAACTTTCATAAATTGCAATTTCTAAATTATTTCGTCAATCATTCTCCAAAATTAAATATTCTAAATTTTTTTCAGATTTTTAAAATGTTTTCTAACGGTTCAATATACATTTTGACAGTCAAATGGGGCTTAAATGAAAGCTCTGATATTCGACTCCAAAAGTAGAAAAGCATTTTACTGCGGAAAAAATAGACAAAGTACTTGGGTATCCTTAAATCACTCGTCAATCAAATAAATTAATAAATGCATTGAAATTTTGATTTTATTGGCTGTTAGTTTATCTCAAAAACAAATAGTTGCAGAGAAGTGTTGAAATTTGTTTTAAATCAGATGAAATTTGCAACAATAAATGACACTTCCTCTTCAAACTACATGTAGACTAAGTAAATCCAAAAATGTGTTAAAAAATCTAAAAGAACTGTTACATCTTGAATTTTTAATTTTCAATAACTGTTAATTCGCTTTGAAAACGGATAGTTCTTGCAAAAAGTGTTGAGAGATCCCTTTTCAATGTGAAAATTTTTCCAGCAAAAATCTTGAATCAAGTGAAATAAATTTAATTTTTCAAATATGAAAAATTGATCTCCCACTCCACTACCGATTTTCCAAGATGATTTTTCTTTTCAAGTTTTTGTAGGAGGGAAAAGAGGGGAGATCGTTCAATTGGAGTTCAACGAGACTACNCCAAGATGATTTTTCTTTTCAAGTTTTTGTAGGAGGGAAAAGAGGGGAGATCGTTCAATTGGAGTTCAACGAGACTACTGGAGTTTCGAGAGAGAAGATAAACAAATGCGTTCCCCAGGCAGTCCCCCCCCCCAGCGCTACAGTAATTCCAGGTGTTTCACTCCCTTTTCAAAAGTCTACTAACACTCAATTCAAACCCTCATCCCAGTGTTTCCCTCTCTCTGTCTGCATTCGGGCGCGAGCCGTTTACTTACATTGGACAGACGAAATATGCTTGCTTGATCCCAAATGTAATTGAAGATCGATGATAACCAAGAGCGTGATGACGATGATTGCTGTATGACACTGTTATTTGACAATGACGATGACATCGGCTCAATAACTCTGTAAAATTTTCCTGACTCTTTACCTCAGAGTTGTTTAGAATTTTGAAGAGTTATGCCGATTATTAATGCGGTAATGAAAGATGATTTGATGGATCTGTGCCAGGGACTGAATTGATTCAATGATCAAGTGGAAAAGAATAAATAATGAATTTAGGTACAATTCAAAGGAATTTTTGAGGAAAAGATTCGGATATTTCGAAGAAAGAGAATTTCGGTAGTTTTAGATTTCAAAATAGTTCCCGCAGTGAATTTTTGTGAAAATTTTCAACTTTTCGGGATACAACGCATTAGTTACCTCAAGTGAACACTGAAATTGGTCAATTAATAACTCCTCTTTTTTAAAATTATTTCTACACCAATTACTTGAAAATTTTATAGAAAATCTGCTGTTCTTCTGATAGATCAGTTATTAAAAATAGTATGGAGAAAAATGAAAGCTAGGAGAAAGGTTTACCACAAATAATTTCGACATTTCCTCTAGATTGTGAGATTTTTCCCAAGAACTCATCATCACTAATAAAATAATTCAAAATCCGAACTCTTTACAGCAAGAAATGGATTAATAAAATTTTCCCTAGAGTTTCTAACTCTTCAGTTACTTGAATTGAACATTGAAAATAATCTGTTAATAACTCTTCCCCCCCTCCCCTCAAAAAAAGAAAAAAGAAAACGCTATGCCTCAATTACTCCAAAATATCATTGAAAACCTGATAAAAATCTGTTACAAATTAGGCATTGATGAATATTTTTAAATGCAAGGGGGCTAAAAACATTTTAATGAAACCCTTTTCATACAAAAAAATGAGAACTATAAAAAACGAATCTATATCTTCTCTACATGCTAGGATATTTCCCAAAGATTGATTTTCACGACTGGAATCGTTAGAAATCCGAACTCTTCAGATGAATATTACGTCAGTAAATATTTTCCTAAACCTTCTAACTCCTCAATTACTCAAACTGAGCATTAAAAACAATGACCTCTTCCACACTATTAGTTGTTGCACAGATGGAATACATGGAAATCTTTACTTGAATACCTAACCAGCGATGTTTGAAACTTATATTAGGGTTAACAGGTCAATTTCTGGACGAGGGTTAGTTTCTGGACGATTTCAACTTCCATTGAATATTGCTTAAATAATGAAATTAACATTGAATTAATAATTTTATCTCTCAACAATATTACAAGTGATAATCATGTGATCAATTATTTTCTATATTCATCGACATTTAATAAAAACAAAAAGTATGGCCCAATCGTCCGGGAATTAGGGATTTCGGCGTGAAGCCGAAACTAGGAGAATATTCGTCAGCGTAAAATTCAATTTAGAAGGTATTTAAGTGCAGGAGAGTCAAATTATCATATCTACAAATGTTTTTAAAGTGCGAAAGAGTTTGTACATTACTTAAAAACATTTGTACACTCCTAGATTCGCCTAAGACAAATATTCTGCTGTCGAATTTTTCGCTAGTTTCAGCTTCATGGGCTTCGGCTGCATTCTACTATTTCTTAATTTAATTGTTCATTGTTTTGTTGTTCTGACTTCAAATAATTTTCTGCTAGTTAAAACATTCTCGAAGGTATGGAAGCCATCATATCCCCTTTAGATGCTTCTTTTATTTTATATATCCTATCACGAAACTCTAATTTCCCTCAAGGACAACAGAATGCCCTTAATTTTCCAAATTTTTGACCAAATTTCCGGCCGAAAGTTATCGATATTTTAACAAATCAAAGCACGTTAATCTCCAGGAGGCGATGATTAAGATCAATGTGCTCTGGATGCGAAAAATATTAATAACTTTGAGCAGGAAATTTGTTTGAAAATTTCGGGGAAACGGTGGCTTTCTGTTACGCCTTAAGGGGTAACAAAATGCTCTCAATTTTCCAAATGCTTCAACGAATTTTCGACCAAAAATTATCGATATTTTAACAAATCAAAGCACATTAATCTCCAGAAGGCGATAATGAAGATCAATGTGCTCTGGATGCGAAAAATATTAATAACTTTGAGCAGGAAATTTGTTTGAAAATTTCGGGGAAACGGTGGCTTTCTGTTACGCCTGAAGGGGTAACAAAATGCTCTCAATTTTCCAAATGTTTCAACAAATTTCCGGCCAAAAATTATCGATATTTTAACAAATCAAAGCACATTAATCTCCAGGAGGCGATGATTAAAATCAATGGGCTCTGGATGCGAAAGATATTAATAACTTTGAGCAGGAAATTTGTTTAAAAATTTCAGAGAAACGGTGGCCTCCTGTTACCCCTTAACCGTCCAGCAATTGTCCTGTTCACCCCAGTGTCCCCCTTAAAATAATCAATTAATTATTCCCCCTCACCCCTCCACCCTTCTAGTGCGTTGCACCAAACCCCTCAAAACTCCACAGCATCCGCCCCCTCGCCCTGGCCGAAGCCCAAAAAATCGTCACCAAAACCGTGAAAAGACGCCACGAGATCTACACAATCCCCAAACCCAAGAGAACTCGAGGATTCCAACCTTGAACCTTCAGTCGTCCTCCCCCGAAACCTATCCCGAGTTCCTCAGCTGTTCACTAGGTCTCCAGATACCCGAAAGATCCCTCAAAACTCCGGGGAAACCGACTTTTCACCGACTATACGCGCGTTTACTCTAGCTACAGCAGCTGCGAAGCTCCAAACACGCCATAAGGTATGACGGCACTGTCGCCGCCATCTTGAAGGTGGAGAGTGATGGAAAAAAAACTACGTCCCATCGTAATTGAACGGGAAGAGATAAAGAGAGAGAGAAATAGAGGGAGGAGGGCAACGCAGGCGCGATCACCGAGTAATTGCCTGTGATATCACATCTCCCTTCAGCTCTTCTCTATTTCACTGGCGACGAGAGAGACACGAGAGAACAATTCGATCTATTCGACACACACTTCCTGTTTCAGTGGTATTTTACGTAAACTCGATGACTGAGGGGTTTTACTCACGTTCCAGAGGTAAATCGGGCTCAGTTGGTGCCAGATGTAATTACAAACACTTGATAACCAGGAGCATGAAGTATCAGAACGCAAAACACTATCGAGTGTCAACGACGTGGACATTGGATCAATGCGATTGGCTACTCGGCCACTCTCGCTTCGTGATACTTCGTGAGGGAACGAAGTTAGAGCGCGGAAATTAACGACACTCGACGACTCTAGGGACCGGCAGCAGAGTTCTGAGAGCGCCAAATCTGAATTTATCTCGACATTTTTTTTACTACAGAACAGAAAAATCAGGAAGTGAAGGACATTTGAGTTTCGTTTTAAATTTATTTGTTATTTCTTCTACTGCTATTGCAGTTGATTTTAGTAATGAGTTCTTAAGGGATTTCAGAATAAAAAAAGATTTTTCGTATAGGAAAGTGAGAGCTATAAAAGGTTTCAATTAGAATTTTGCTGTCTCTTGGAGATTCGAAGATATTCGTGGTTAATGATCGAAATGATAGGGGATTGAAAGAAGTGAAATTTTTGATGTTTCAACAAAATAAAAAGTCACGAAAACGGTTTCCAATAGAATTTTGCTAGCTCCTAGGGATTTAAAGACATTTATCGTGAAGTGATTGCAAAATTAGCTCGTCTGTTAGAGTTTGTTTTACGCTGTAATTAGAATATTAATTGGGTGATACAGGTGGTCGTGCAGAGCTAGACGATTATGGTCCGAACAAAGACAGAGGAACCTCGAGAGAAAAAAAAATGGTGCCCCAAGGACGGATCCAGTGACAGAGAATTCCCGAAAAAATCGACAATTTTGAAAAATCAGTGGATGAAAGTCCCACACGATTCCCCGATAAATCCGCACTCTTTTGGCTACTGACCCTTGGTTTATCGTGATCCCTGTTATCTCGCGAAACATGTTTCATCCACTGCTGCTTTCGTGCCCCCATCGACACCTGATTGAGGTGAATTAAAATGCTAAAGAAATAGGGATTTGTGTTTACCTGTCCCAGGATCCAGTACCTGAATGTCCCCTCGATCGAGTCAAACAGATATTCGAAAAAATCACGTAACATTTCAGTTTTGTTGGTGGGTTTTTATATTAGGGAGACACGGACACTTGAGCTGTTATTGTCGGCATCGTTCGCCGTGGAAACACATGGAGGAGATGAAAAAAACTGAGGCAGAGTCCAATGACCCACTTAGGCACTGGGACTGTTGCAGATGGCGACACAGGGAAATCGCGGGAGTTTTGAAGTTGGTGAGGATTAATTACTGATGTGTACAGCTTTTTATTGATTCCCCGGTATTTGCACGTGTAGGTTTTTTAGTGTGGACACGTCTTCAATTTCATGAAGGGAATTCTTCGCGTTAAACATTTTCGTTTGAATTTGCCGTACCTAATTCCGGAAATTTTTATCGTGTTCAAGTTCCACTGAAATCATTCAGTCATTGAAAAATCAAATATTCCATTGATTCTCTGCTCAAAGGATCTAGAAATCAATAAAATACTTGATTTTTCAATGCATTTATTTTGTGAGAATTGAGAAAAATCAACAAAATTCAGGGGATAATTGAAAATTCATGTCATTGCGTTTCTGAATATTCAGGTTCCATTAAAAGTTCAATGAAGTTGTGAAATTTCCGTCTCACTTCCATTGAAAACTCATGAATTTTTTTCAATTGTACATAAAACTTGAAATTTCATGACCACTTTTTCTTTAAATTCGATTCGATGTCTCTATCTGTCATGAAGGTTCAAAAAATTTTCAAGAGTGTAGAAGATTCTAGATTATTCTAGAAAACTGAGAAAATTCTCCGATAGAAAATGCGAGAAAATTCTCCGGTTTTATAGAACATTTGAAAAAATTCTCGGATTTTCTAGAACATTCGCACATTTTTCTAAAAAAATCAATTCAGCAGATGGAAAACAACACTGTTAAAAATTTTCGTCTGAATTTTCCGTGTCGAATCCCGGAAACTTTTATCGTGTTTAATTTCCACTGAAATATCAGGCAATTTTGTCATCAAAAAATTAAATATTCTATTGATTTTCTGTTCGAATCATCTAAAAATCAACAAAATACTTGATTTTTCTGTTCAATTAATCCGTGTAAAGTCTGAAAAATCCGGAAAATTCAGGGAAAAATTGAACATTCATGTCATTGTATTTCTGAAAATTCACGTTCCTATAAAAGTTCACTAAAGTTGTGCAATTCCCGTCTCACTCCCACCGCAAACTCACGAATTTCATCGAATTCTCCATAAAACTTGAAATTTCATACCCATTCTTCCCCCAAATCGGATTCAAAGTCACTCTCCCGAGAATAACTGCCACATTTCCCTGAAATTTCGTAAAATTCCTACCAGCGTACTATTTACCTTAATTCCCAAAGGAAACAGTGACAATCCTTGTTTATAAAAAGTATGCGGTTCCTCGGAGGATTGGCATCGGTCGTACCTCCCCTCCCTCGACCTCCAGGGACCTCCCCAAGTGCGATCACGTGCCTGAAAAAGCCCAAATAAATCACAAGTCCCTTCGCATGTCACATTACCAACCCCTCCAATGCCACAAAAATAACTCCACATGTACGCAGTCACGAGAAGTTCCACCAAGAATCCATCCATCCTCAGCAGGATTTCAATCAATACCCATTACCCCCCCCCGCCCCCCATCCCTTCTTCCTGACCCCCTCCCGCTGTCTAAAAAATCCTCGGCATTGAGCAAACAAATCCACCGAAAATAATCTTATTCCATACCTTGCTGACAGTTGAATAATTAAACTGTTGCCTGACTCTTCCCAATATCCTCGTGATACTCCCAATCATCTTCCACCCACATCCCAATCGCCACTGCAAGTTCACCCCTCGTGCACTGCACCTCCTCTCCCCAGCACATGCGCTATCCCCTCAATTCCCCTCCACAGAGAGGGAAAAAAAAATCTAACATGAACAGATAGAAAAATAAATTTAAAAAATCTGTCAGCGATAAATGCCACGACCTTCCCCCAGTTATCTATAGTTCAAGAGCTCCTCAGGGATGATAATAATCATCTGGTCCCCGGGAAATGATTCAGCATCGCTGAGAAATAATGAAAATTGAACCAGGAAGAAACTTGTTTCTGCATCTGGTCGATAAACTCCTCGACAATGTGAAAGCAGGGAAAATGAAGTCAAGAGGCTGAGGGGTGGACTTGTAACCTTGGACAGGCAGAAAGGGGGCTGCAGTTGCAGGGCTGGAGTAGGGTGTGAACGCCTCGGCTGTGAAGCGAAAGCTCTAGGCACTGTGAGGTGTGCAGGCGCGCAATGCGGATGTGTTTGTTGAAATTGAGGTGACACGGAGAGGAATAAATATTGGTGCGTCAGAGAACTGGCGGTTACTGTGGCTCTCGTGGTTATGGTGGGTGGGGTAACACTGGTCTTTCTCAAGTTTATCAGTAAAAAGCAGGGGTTGAGCGAGTCCACTGGGGATGATCATGAGAGGGATGATGATGTTTGCCTCAAAGAGTGGAGTGATATGCCCAGGCATTTGCAGTTTAATCCGCATATTAGGACGGGGTACAGACCTCTCACCGACTTCAGCGGGTGCCTTAGGAGCCTTTTCTATANAAAACCCCATTCCCCCCCCCCCCGCCCCCCAACCCTTCTTCCTGACCCCCTCCCGCTGTCTAAAAAATCCTCGGCATTGAGCAAACAAATCCACCGAAAATAATCTTATTCCATACCTTGCTGACAGTTGAATAATTAAACTGTTGCCTGACTCTTCCCAATATCCTCGTGATACTCCCAATCATCTTCCACCCACATCCCAATCGCCACTGCAAGTTCACCCCTCGTGCACTGCACCTCCTCTCCCCAGCACATGCGCTATCCCCTCAATTCCCCTCCACAGAGAGGGAAAAAAAAATCTAACATGAACAGATAGAAAAATAAATTTAAAAAATCTGTCAGCGATAAATGCCACGACCTTCCCCCAGTTATCTATAGTTCAAGAGCTCCTCAGGGATGATAATAATCATCTGGTCCCCGGGAAATGATTCAGCATCGCTGAGAAATAATGAAAATTGAACCAGGAAGAAACTTGTTTCTGCATCTGGTCGATAAACTCCTCGACAATGTGAAAGCAGGGAAAATGAAGTCAAGAGGCTGAGGGGTGGACTTGTAACCTTGGACAGGCAGAAAGGGGGCTGCAGTTGCAGGGCTGGAGTAGGGTGTGAACGCCTCGGCTGTGAAGCGAAAGCTCTAGGCACTGTGAGGTGTGCAGGCGCGCAATGCGGATGTGTTTGTTGAAATTGAGGTGACACGGAGAGGAATAAATATTGGTGCGTCAGAGAACTGGCGGTTACTGTGGCTCTCGTGGTTATGGTGGGTGGGGTAACACTGGTCTTTCTCAAGTTTATCAGTAAAAAGCAGGGGTTGAGCGAGTCCACTGGGGATGATCATGAGAGGGATGATGATGTTTGCCTCAAAGAGTGGAGTGATATGCCCAGGCATTTGCAGTTTAATCCGCATATTAGGACGGGGTACAGACCTCTCACCGACTTCAGCGGGTGCCTTAGGAGCCTTTTCTATATTCATAATGAGACGGTTAATATCATGACCCATGGTGAGTAGAGGGGGGAGGGGGTGACTTTTTTTCAAATTTTCAGTGATGAATGCTTAAATAAATTTCATGGGATTGATTGTGGGGAGAATACATAAAGTACGCTGAGAAGAAATTTGTGGAATAGATTAATAATTGTGGAAGTAGGTAGGATTTTATGAGTAGGGAAATCCCGAAAATGATTACTATTGATCCAAATAATAGAAATTAGAGTAATTTGTTTCGAGTTTATCGCAAGTGTATCAGTAAAAAACAGGGGGTGAGCGAGTCCACTGGGAATGATTATGAGAGGGATGATGATATTTGTCTCGAAGAGTGGAGGCTTTTCTATATTTATAATAAGACGGTTAATATCATGACCCATGGTGAGTGGAGGGGGGAGGTGGGGGTGACTTTTTACCAAGTTTTCAGTGATGAATGCTTAAATAAATTTCGGGGTATCTAGTATTTATTCAATGTGAGGAATTGAGTAATTTCGATGAAGTACGTTGATAAGACATTTTCGGAATAGATTAATAATTGTGGGAGTAGGCAGGGTTTTACGAGTAGGGAAAGCCCGAAAATGATTACTTTGATCCAAATAATAGAAATTAGAGTAATTTATTTCGAGTTTATCGCAAGTTTATCAGTAAAAAACAGGGGGTGAGCGAGTCCACTGGGAATGATTATGAGAGGGATGATGATATTTGTCTCGAAGAGTGGAGGCTTTTCTATATTTATAATGAGACGGTTAATATCATGACCCATGGTGAGTGGAGGAGGGAGGTGGGGGTGACTTTTTACCAAGTTTTCAGTGATGAATGCTTAAATAAATTTCGGGGTATCTAGTATTTATTCAATGTAAGGAATTGAGTAATTTCGATGAAGTACGTTGATACGACATTTTCGGAATAGATTAATAATTGTGGGAGTAGGCAGGGTTTTACGAGTAGGGAAATCCCGAAAATGATTACTATTGATCCAAATAATAGAAATTAGAGTAATTTGTTTCGAGTTCCCTGGGAATGGTTATGAGAGGGATGATGATTGTAGAATTTTTTTCAAGTTTTCAGTGATGAATGTTTAAATACGAGCAGGCATGTGATATTAATTTTTTTACGGTGTTTATTATTTCTTCAATGTGAGGAACGGAAGGAATGGGAGTAGGTAGGATTGTAGGGGTCGAGAAAGCCCGAAAATGACTACTATTAATCCAAATAGAAGAAATCGGAGTATTTTTTGTTTCCTGTTGATTTCAAATTCATCGGTCGGGGATTGAGCGACTCCCGCGATGAATTGAGGAAGGGGGAGGTGATACAATACAGGAATTAATTTTTACGGTGAAATCATACTCAAATAAAAATTTAAAGAGACACAAGAAGCTATTCTTTTCATTAATTTGACTTTTTTATCAGTGTAATTAAAACTTTTATCGCTGATTGAATTTCCAATTAAAATTCTGCCCTTTCGTTTTCTTTGAAGCCTCTCATTATCGAGATAACTTGATAGATATTTAAAGAGAGTCATTGAGTCTAGTTTAACTTTTTTTTCGGTTGTCAATGTCTTCGGAAAATAATTATAAAAATTTCAAATATTCCCTAAAATATTAAAAAAAATTGTTTTCTTCCACTCTGTCATGGTTCATCACTCCATTTATTTCTGTGATTTTTTTCATATAAACGAGTATAAAGGGGAAACACTAATTTTATCCCGGAAATTAGTAACGCAAGAGAAGATATCGAGAAAATTTTTTGAAACAATTTTTTTTCAATTAAATTTTAGATTATATTCTCCCTTCGTATTTTCTCCAACCCCCCTCATGATCGAAACAACTGAGTTAATCACTGAGTCTAATCTACGAATTTCATTAATTATAAACGTCCTTCGACAGTAATTATCACGACAATTAATCTTTCCACCCAATACAAAAAATCGATTTGTTCTATTTCGTATTTTCATCGCTTAATTTCATTTCGTTATTTTGTACTCAAATATAACTGAGTATCGAGGGGTGGCACGTGGAAGTTTAAATGGATGACTCCCTGGGATTGGGGTCAAGGTCAGCTTAGATAACTCCGGGTCAACTCTCGAATAGAAGAGAGCGGAATGGGCGAGGGTGGGTGGAATGGGGCGGAAGTGATCGAAGGGTTTAAAATGAATGTCGTGCCATCTCTTCACAGCCCTCTTACCTCTTTTGAAACTCCGTTCAAGGTTTCGCCATTCTCTGCATCCTGATAACGGTCCCTTATTGTCTGCCGTGGAGCGACGAAGGTGCCTTTTATGGATTTCTATCGTGGTGTCATCTCATCGGAGCCGCCAGCCCCTGGCTCGGATCGTTTTTATATCATTTGTTCATGAACCTGAATCATGGAGAGGCCGTTTATCGGAGACTACTCAAGCTGGATATGCTGGGAATCTGGGTTGTCCAGAGTATTGGTGAGATGTGAATAATTTATCGATTTGTGGGCTACGACGAGACGAGTGAGTTCATCTTCGTGAGCTTTTGGGACTGGCTTTATCTTTAGAAACAGCTTTGTTGGAGCGTTTTATTTAATGAAAATAGGAATTACGTGACATTGCGGTCATGACCGCAAGGCCATGTAGCGCCTATTTTAGTTGGCTTTATCGTATTTATGGATTATGAGATCTTCGCGAAAGCTCGGGGGCTAGAAGAGATGAAAGGGAGATGATTTCGGGGAAAATAGAACGAAGATTTTAGAGGATTTCAAAAAGAATCGACACATTGTAACGGGGCAAATTCAAATTTTCGTTCTTTTGTGATATAAAAACGAAATATTGTCCGTGAAGTCCGAACATGCAAGTATTAGATAAGCCCCATTCACCCAGAGAAATGCATTTATTCATTTCGACAATATTTTTGTCAAAAATTTATTTCAAAATTTATTTCAATGAGAATGTTTTAATTATGTGACATTGATAAATCATTCAAATGAAGAATTCATTATTCTCCGTCTAACCAATTACTTCTTTTGTAATTAATAAAGTCTTTAGTTAGATTAAATAAACATTTGTTTATGTTTAAAATTTTTTACATTTTATGGGAATAACAAAGGAGATAAAAATCAAGATTATGTTTGAATAAGAGCTGTATTACGAGTCGGTTGAATAAACACATTTACTTGATTCAAATGAGGTGTATTCAATTCGAATGTAACATTTCTCTGGGTTCACGTGTTAGTGGCAAATCATTTCGTCGATTTCACTAACGCATCAATTCAATTTCGTTATGATTTTATTTAAAAGTAGCTATTGTTGAGTACTGGCCGCAAACCTTGAGTGATATTTCATTCATATATTCAATTTTTATTAACAAAATGGGACAATAGGAACAAAAAATAGTATTAAAATAGAAAGAATATGGTCGAGAAAATATAATACTATTCCCTGAATGAGATTTCTATCCTTTTCTTTCGTTAAAATGGATTAAACAAATGGCAAAAATTAAATTAAATTATTGAAGACTAAAAATATTATCGGATTATTATTGTGCAATGTTTCAGATGAGCTCAATAATTACTTCAAACAATTGTTTTAATATCACTCATTAATATGCGTTGATGACAACTAGAGTTAAAGTTCGGAGGATAAAAATCATTTTTTGTTAAATGTTTGTAAATACAATGAAATTGAAAATAATTGGATTAATTATGACGAAGTGCAATCCATCAATTGCTACTCATCACTTGAACGAAAATAAAATTGACCGGTGAAGCGTATTACCTCTTTACTAATTGATCAGCTATCCCATTGGAGAGTTTAATTAAATTGATTGACTGCAGGTGCAATGCCGTTCATATCAGCCTCTATCCATTGTCTTCCTGGACCACTGTGGCACGCCTGCATGGCTCTGTACGTCTTCTTGAGCCTGTGGGGCCTCGCGAAGGCAAGTGCACTCTAGATTTGTCCCATAAAAGCCCACACGTAGTCAGACCAATTGAAGAGAATTGTGTAATTATTCATTTCTCAACAGGCAATGAGGGCCACGTCACCTTGGGAAAGAAGATTATGCTTCTCACCGCCGTTCATGATGAGGATGATATTCCTGACCCTCAGGTGTTTCCGGATTGGCGGAGGTAATCCTGACGCACTCAAGCACGTTGTTCTCCAGGTGAATGTTATGTAAATCGGATTTTCAGTGGTTGATGGTGTGGTGTTTTCAGAGGTTTAGGAGAGTTATTTTTTTGCGGCGAATTTTATGGGCTGTAAAAATGGCCAGGATTTTTTTCTGTAAACCTATTGGATTTGAAGATATCTATGAAACAGCTAACGGCAGATTGTGCAAGTTTTTAACTTCAGTTTTGAATTATTCTGTGAATATCTTCGGGAGAGAGTTCAGAAAAATTAATAAAAATCACTTTTAATGGAACATTTTGTGGAGAGAATATCAACTCTTCTCTGAATCTCACGATTTTGGAGATATTTGGAAAATAGTCAATATGACATTTTTTTAGTGTTTCTATTTTCATCTATTTTGTGAATATCTTCCAAATGGCGATTTTTGCGGAATTGATTGAGAGACATAAAATGTCAGTTGACATTTTGTTGTAAAGCCATTGTTATTCATGATTATTACGAATTTATTCATGATTAAACAAATTGCTATCCTCACTTTGAAAAAAGTGTAAGAGACATTTTTCCTGATACTAAAAAACTGGAAATAAAATTAGAAAAAGTCTAGAGATATTTTCAAAATATTAAATACAAATTTTTTAGACTCGTCTCGTCATGCCCTATTCTTCTGCAAATGTCTTTAAAATTACGAGATTCGGACAAATTGACCCATCATTTCTCTATTCTGCATGATGTTCTTCTTTTGGAAAAAAAAATAATGTTTAAAGTCCGATTCCTCCGTTACTCTCTAATTCTTCCTAAAGATTGAAAAAAATTCTTAAAAAAAATCTTTTTAAAAATTTTCAAAAAATGATTTTAAGAAATTATTTTTAATGATTTCCTCTAATTGAGGAATGTGTTTGTAATAGTTGATACAACCTAATTTGAACTATTCTCTAACTGTCAAACTATATCCATCTCCTTGACGTTCACTACTGAATAAAAATGTCAAGTGCCTGTCTAAACTTACAACTTCCAATGTCACGTTCCCCCAAAACCCCACATTTCTCAACTCCTCGCCACGAAATTACTGAAACAAATTAACATAACTCCCCACAACTTTCTAGGATTTAGTTGCAGTGATAGGTGGTACAATAGGAGCCCTTCGAATTCCGGAGAAGTGGCTGCCAGGTCAGGTGGACCTTGCCCTGAATTCTCACAACATAATGCACGTGATTGTGGTTCTGGCAGTGTGGTCAATGCACTCAGCCACCATTCAGGACCTGCATTGGATGACAGATCCATCTGCCTGTCAAGTTATCCCCTCATCTCCCCGCCACGACGAGCTCTAACTCTCATTCAAGATTTTTTTTCTCCATCGTAAGAGGGAAATCAACATTCGGGATCATATTAGAAACTGTGATTGGGATATCAAGCTCCATGATATATTTGATAACTGTGATTTTTCAATGGGAAATTCATGACACGTGGAGAATGACTCTCTTGTTGGGTCAAGCACATCAAAAATATCTTTTATTGTACAGATTTAATTCCTTGGATCAAACCGACGTCGATTAGTCGTCATTTAGAGTCAGAGTTAGATCGAAAACCAAATATTTGTTTTATATCTGAATTTTGGGGGTAGAATTTCTCAGATTGGTCGATTGAACTAGGTTTCGTTTTATTTATAGTCGAAAAAGTGTAATGATAGACTTGATAATGTTTACATCGACTAGAATTAGGCGAAAGATTTACAAAAATTCATCTCCATTGTTATTAATGGGACTGAGAACATGAATTTTTAGTCGTTTTTATCAGTTAATTTAAGTAGATTCCTCAAGTTTTGTTGAATACGAAGAAATTGTGACGTGTTATGAGTGATTTTATTTACAATTCCCAGGGCATTTCGCCCTGAAAACACTCATTATAGAGGTAAATTCCCTATTCAGTAGATATTTCATGTTCGATGTCCCCTCAATCCCATCAATTACAAATTATTAAAATTAAGAGTGTGATTCAGTAATAATAGAAATTCATTGCTCTTAGATAATCAGGTGATCGAAAAGTATCGAAAATTATTTAAACGTTGAATGATTTGTCGTTTTACGAAATTTAGAAGATTTTAACATTGTTACGATTTATCCTCCATTGATAAATCTTTTCTACCTCGAATAGTGCATTTTTAACTGAAAACGTTATTTCACCGCGAAAATAATTGGCTTCCAAAATCCATTGAATCTAACTATTTTCCAATCAATTGTCTTCAAGTAAAGCTTATGATAGTTGAAATTTTTATGACTGGTGTTTTTCATTGAACCTTTTCATAACATTCCTCTCCATTTCCATAAATTTTCGCCTACAAAAAAACATGATGAAAAATAAAAATTTGTGATCAAATTATTCACTGAAGCGGTGCATCACTCTCCTGTAACTCTTGACTTGAGTGAATTTAAACGATGGATATCGTCCCGTTGAATTGAGGCACGTCGTGCCTTCCGCTCCGTTTTTGTACTTTATGAATGTATTGTAACGAACCCAATTATGTTGAGAATTGGCTCTGGTTTCTCAATTGGTTTGTTTCAATATTAACTGATTTGTCATTTTCATAATTTATTTACGTAATCCATTGATAAATCTTTTATATCTCGACTAGTGCATTTTTAACGTTAAAAGTTATTTCGACGAAAACGTTATTTCACTGCGAAAATAATTGGCTTTCAAAATCCATTGAATCGAATTATTTTCCAATCAATTGTCTTCAAGTAAAGCTTACGATAGTTGAAATTTTTATGATTGTTGCTTTTTATTGAAACTTTTCATAACATTCCTCTCCATTTCCATAAATTTTCGTCTACAAAAAGCTAAGAAATGCATTTTTAAGGGTTATTTTTTTTGCATTCAAACAAATTCTGATTAGAGAATTGAAAATAAAATCGATGGAATTGTGAAATACAATGCAGTAGAATATATATGAACTTAAACTCAACAGCAATTGCATCTTAAGAATTTAATTTATTTATTTTTTATGTTAACTGATTAAAAATTAAAAAATAGTGATAAAATTATTTACTGAAGCGGTGCATCACTCTCTTGTGTGTAACTCTTGGCTCGAGTGAATTTGAACGATGGATATCGTCCCGATGAATTCAGACACGTCGTGCCCTCCTGTCCATTTTTGTACTTTGTGAAAATATTGTAACGAACCCAATTGAGTTGAAAATTCGCTCTCTTCTGGTTTGTTTGGATCTCGAATTCCTGCAACACAATTCAGAAAATATTGAATACAATAAAGAACTAGTGCCTTAATTAGCCATTTAGATTTTTGTAATATATGTTAACTACACACATTACAAAAATTGTAATGGGGAAAATTCTAGATAACATCATGATCTAATGTTCCACTCACAACGTGAAATGTTTGTTCTCCACTGTCATGTACAACTTCCTTCCTCTTCTTCCTGTAAATATTGTGATTCGATCTGGTCTCCTGTTTCTTCAACACGAGTGTAACGCGATTTTCATGCAGCCTGTAGTAACCAATTAAAATATTCGGATTTCTGGGATAACGATTTTTCAATAAATTAACACAGCTCTGGGCATCATCTGTTGATGTTAACATTAGTACTCGACCCTCTGGAAAAAATCTGAGAAGAGAAAATCACAAATAAATGCTCAAACTCGTTAAAAAGAATCAATTAAAGAATGAGATGAAATGGCGAATTAATTTGCAAATTATTCAGCGAAGATTTCTGGAACTGATCTGCTTGGAGAAAAATCTCAATTGACTTTTTTTTCGTGGGAGATTTTATGAGCTGTGAAAAATATTATTGTGCAGTGCAACAGATTTTATGGCTGTTCAATAATAGATTATTGAGATTGAAAATAGTTCAACTTCGAATTATAATTCGTTATTATTTTGAACATCATGACTTTACAATTATTGAATTATTTTGTTAAAAACTCATCTAAAAAAATGTCAATACTTTTTCTTTGACGAGAATTGTATGCATTATAACAGAATTCCTTTGAGATTTCTCTTTAAGCAGAGATAGTTGGAAAAAATCTGTGTACAGTTGTTTAAAATTCATCTTATATTATCCATTCATCATAAAATTCAATGTTTTGACTCGAATTGAATGAAGATAATTACCTAATATATCTGAAATACTCGACCAAGTGCCAAGGCCGATAGAACTGGTCCTGAAAACTGTTCTCCCCATGCCTGATGTACGTATTTTTACTAATATAACAGCCATTGTAACGTAATCTAGGTCTTTGCAGGTACATATCCCTCCAGGAACGATATTTGGGCTCGAAATTGCCACAATTAACTCCCCAGACCCTCACACAAGCCAGTCTCCATATCTCCGGGTCTCTCGCTGAGATGAAAAAGCCTCGGCAGGCCCCTGAGAACATCTCCAGGGAGCGGAGATCAAGGTCCGGTGACACCACCCATCTGAGAATGTAGAGGACAATCTCCATCGGCAGAGCAGATATATGCGTAGTCTGAATTAACAAATTTATAAGTTTTGGTCATTGAGAATCATTTTCATTCATCACAATATTTCATGAATTTGGGAGAAAAACCGGTAGTAGTTTGAAAGAGAAAGTCTCAAAATTCCGTGCATATTAATTTGGAAATATCTCCGACATCAGTAGCTTTTGAGGAAAATGGGGAGAGACCTTTCGTATTGATCATTCAACTTTCTACCATAAAGATGGTGCGGTATTTTTCTCTAGAAGTGCCCTTTATTGGGGTGATAATTTATTAATTTGGAAGTGATGGCATCTGGTACATGAAATCGAACTTTTTTTTAGGTGATTATCTGGGTTTTAGGAGAAAATATCCAGAATCTTTTTCTTAACTTGATAACATTTTCTGTGGGAATGTCTTCTGACATTTTTTCTAAACCCACTAATTTTAAATTCGTGAGTAATATGAATTTATTCTTAATTTAAAGTAGATGACTTGAAAAAATGCAGATTATTGTACAAATGTCGATGAAACTAGTAGATTGAGAGGCAAATGAGAAGTTTATTTCTGTTTTTTTTTCTGGAATCCCTCACCATTGAGATCATAAACCCAAAACTTGTTAGTGAGGCGATTATCTAGGTTTCAAGAAGTTGAAAAAAAATATCCAGAGACTTTCTGTAATTAGAACTCGGAAAGAGAGGGGTAGAACAGCCTTTTTTCAATCGCTAATATCTTGAGATCTGTAGATGGGAATTCAATTTTTCTTTCGCTTTGAAGATATTTTTTCAGACTTCGAAGGGAAACCTAATTCACCCAAATCACATAATTTTGTCTGAGATATTGATGACTTAAGGTCATTATATACATTATTCAGTGAATATCTCTAAAACCACGGGGTTTAGAAAAAAAAATTAAGAAACCTTTTTCTAGCCCTTGAAATTTCTTACAAGTCTTCTGACATTGCCCTCTGAACTCATTCATTTAAAAAATGTAAGCAATGGATTTTTTCGTCTAACATTTTAATATCTGAAAAATGATCTCTTACACTTTGTTCAAAGCGAGGACTGCAGACGCACTGACTCTTGGCCAAAATCCTTGATAATTTAGTGAGTAAATCCCCATCGTCACTCTCCTCATCATCATCAATATCCTCATCGTCTCTGTCACCCTCAAAAACGATCTTCTTCTCATCTTTTTCGAATTTCTCTCGAGCCTTTGGTTTCGTTGACTCGTAGAGCCTAAACTCAATGTCAGGCACCAGTTGCACAGCCCTTTTGTAGAACCTGATTGCGTCGTACAATTCTCCATTCTGCTCGTACTCAATACCTTTCAAAAATAAATTCTTTGCCTGTTGAATAATCACAAATTTTCATCAAATGATCGATTAATATTCAACGGTATTGTTGATTCTGTCATTTACTTGGGTGTTATTTCACCTTAGTTTCTATGGATAATTCTTCCTCGATAGTTTCGATATTCGATGTTTTATTTGATTTGTTGAGGTCTCTCTTCGGGGAAATCTCGAGTTCCCTTTGCCATTGTTCCCTGAAACTCGTTAGGGCATCCTCGACGTTGAAGTTTGAGGAGGAAGATTCTTCCTGATCATCTCCACCGTCTCCGGCGCTTCCATCGTCACCAGAGAAACCACCAGGTTGATTCTATCATCAATACCAGGGATCGACATTGTTATTAATGATTACTTTTTGTAATTTTACAAAACGTTATTGAGGGATTTGATTAACAAAGTCATCTGCAATTTCAATTATTAAATTGGAAACTAAAATAATTACTGATTACGGAACTAATTGTAAATTTCTTCCTTTTTTTGTATTTTTAAGGTATTTATGGCCTGGTAAGAGAAAAAAAAGTCAGATTTTTTTTTAGTTCGTTCTTTAATATTTTAAGAAACATTCTGCAATCACATCTTAGATAGCCTAGGAGTTGATAACAACAGAAATAATTTCCAGTGTTGATACCTATGCATGGAGTTAATTAAGACGATCCTCAGCTAAGTATTGGAATAACTAAAAATAATCTGCCGATCAATTGATCGATGTATCATCACTATTTATCAATGATATCACTAATTATGAAGTATTTAGTCAATATTCACGATCGAATGGTTCAATGAAAGCGCTCTACGACGAATTCAACTGTGGAATAAGTTTGCTCCAGACTTAATCTTATTCTGACGATTTATTTGGCTAACAGGGCTTGGTGCGAACGGCCTTTGGAGTCGAGTCAGCTTATTATTTCATCCATTTGTTATACCATAGGGGATGGTGGGGAAAAAAGGACACTTTAGACTTTTTTTCAATTGTTCATAACTCAGAAACAAATTTATCAATTGAGCTCAGTTTAGGCTCGTTACAAAGGGAAAGAATTGTTCTTTGTATTGAAAAGAAAATTATTAAATTTCGTCAATATTTCAACCCCCCATTAAGATTTTAAAAAAAGTCAAGTGTCCGTTTTACCCCAACCTCCCCTACAATATTGAACTCATAAAAAAATTATAAAATAAAAATATAAATAGGACGTAAAATCTCAGATTATCAAGGAAAACGTTGGCTCAATCGTTTAATTAGATTTAATCATTAAATGAGGAATGCCTAAATTTTGGTACTTGTGATTATGCAACACAAGAACTATAAAATTTGCTTTGTTCCTTGCACTTTGTGTGCATATGTTATCACTCCCTTTGAGGTTATGAAGACGTCTCAAGAATGAAATTGGAGTGACACCAGAAATTACGATGAATTGGACAGAAATTATTATCGGGATATTTACCATAATTTTCCAGGTTCAGTCGATTGAATGATTTTTCCTCAGCGAACAAACTCTCGGTCAGAGAATCGAACGACACTTCGGTACGAGAATTTCGCAAGGTGAATCGCCGCCATGGTTATTCACCCACTGGATTCATTGCGTTGCATTTACGTTGGACTGAAGTGGACTAAAGTAGGTTCTCGACACTCTTCTTCTTATCAGAGGCCACTTAGTGGCCAAAACAAATATCATGTTCTTGTCATAATAATCTTTGAGACGAATCATTATTGAGTAATAATTTCAAACAAACATTTTTGTTTGAAATTATTGAGTCATAATTTCAAACAAAAATAAAAACTAGAGGTGAAACGTGAAGATATCACGCAATTTTCAGTTTCCATTTTCAGGGCCATTACAATAAAATCATGCGCTTGTCCTAATAATCTCTGCGGCGAATCACTATTGAGTAATAATTTTTAACAATGGATTTCCTGTGTAGGAAAAATAATAGAATAGTAGAATGAAGACGAAACATTTTTGATTGTTGGGAATAATTCGATGAGGAGGGCGACATGAGACCCAAAAAATGGCATATTGTTATTAAATATTTAGGGAAAGGAGGGGTTTTAAGGCATTTGGGATGAGACTTATTTATTGCACAGAATTTTATCGTTCACGAAAAAGTACTTAATTTGAATGTTTTAGGTTTAGTTTTAGTTAATTTTTTTGGAATTCTCATTCTTCCTTCGCAATTAATTTGGAAAAATCTTTGGGAGGAAGAAATTAAAAAGAATTTATCATAAGATTTCTGGCGAGTTTCCCTAAATCAAGGGGAATTTCATGGAGCTCTTCGAGTTTTACTTGTTTACGTTATTTTCTAAATGTTGAATTTGTCGGTAGACTTGTCTTGCGGAAAATCTGACTATAAAGGGCATTTTATTATTTTTCTCGAAATCTACTAGTTTCGCAGATATTTGCAAAATGAGCAATATTATGAAACTTATGAAAAAGTCTTCTTCTTTCTGATAATTTTGCAAATAGCTTTGGAGGGAACGGATCCAGGAGAATTGTTCAATAAACGTTATTTATAGAGAAATGAGTAGACTTAGAAAAACCTTCTAACTTATGTTCATCTGTGATATCCTCTTGATAATATCTTAGGTATCTCGACCTAATAAATAAACTTATTGTAACGATTTAATTGGCTAACAGGGCTTGATGCAATCGCCCCTAAATCTAGTAATTCATGAGACATTTTCAAAAGCATTTTTATGCAATCTTTGGACCTGTTGATTTTTCATTTTGACTATTTTCTCAATATCTTCACAAGTAAAGAATTTAAAGGAACTACTAAAAAGACATCTTTCGCGGAGAATTCGATGGAGTACGAAATCTTCCGCACGCGTTTCTGTGAATCCACTAGCTCCAGAAACATTTCCAGAAGAATCCATACAAAACCTGTGGCCAAAAGATGGAGAACAGCCGATCAAGAGCCGTTTTTTCATAAAGCTGGACCCGCAAATATTCTCAAAATAATCATCCCAAAAATTCCAGACTCACCTTCCATTCAGATCTTCGAAAGGGTAAGGCCCAGAGAAACTCCCAAGGAGGCCCTCATCTCCAAGGAAATCCGATCCTCTCCCAAAATTCTCCGAGCATTTTTCTCCAAAAGCTCCCCCCACTCCCCTCCCCCCCCTGCCACAAAAATCGAAAGCATCCACGAGAAAAAAGTAACGCCTCCCGAGGCCCGAATGAAGACGAGCCGACGTCATAAATATTCATCCAAGAATCCGTTATCGAACGGAAGAGGGAAAAAAATCAATCACCACGGGCCCCAAATCTCGTCAAATAAATCCCCCGCCAGGCCCTTCAAATCCCGAACTGAAGTATGACGCAACACACAATAATCTCGAACTTTCTTCCCACAAACAAACGATCGCACTAACTCTCCTCCATTAAAACCGAATCCGTCGCATCGCCACATGCATTATCCAGCAAGCACAGCCTCTTCCGAATTTTTTTTCTCCATTTAAATCTCCCATTGAAAATCGAGTGAACGATAAAAAACAAAAAATTGTCTCACCAGGGGTGGGCCGTCTTGAGACGCAAGTGAACTGAGATGTGGGTCAGACCGGAATACTCAGGTGATTTTGGCACAAACGAAAGTGGGCGAGAGTGTAAAGACAATTTTTTTTGCCTCATTTTGCTGACGATCGAGTGCTCCGGGGCCAGAAGTTGAGAATGGGAGTGTAGGCACCCATCCCCTTCCATTTTTTTTCACTTCACGATACACTCCATGTATCGGTGAGGAAGAAGGCACCTCACTTTTACCACCTCCACCTTTCTTCCTCAGTGGGATAGAGGTGAGTTTCGTTGGATGCTCGCTGGTACCCAGTCAATTGTCGTGATCATCATCCAGGTGTAAAAGCCGGGATCCACCCGTGAGACAGCACAGACAGCATCATGCGTTTGGTGAGTACATTCAAGCTCATCTTTAGTTTTATCAATTGTTTTTTTCGTGTGGTACGTCCCTCAGAACGAAGGCGACGACGATTAGGGGAGGATTTGGTCGGATTTATCGCTGGATTTTTGGCTTTCGATTTTTAGATTATTTGGTTTCTGGTGTTTTTCTGATGAATTGTGAACAAGTGGTGGATTTTGAATAGTGCCGGGCTGCGTATCCGCACGTCTAGTCAATTGAGAGACCGTTTCAAACGATTCGCAACGTGAAAACCTGGAGAGTGATCGAGTATTGTAGTCAATTAAAATCTCACATTATTGCGTTATTGAAATACTCGTATTTTTACTTTCTCCGGGCTCCGTCGGTTTTCGTGTGAAGTTATCCTGGGACAGTGAGAAGTGCATATGTTTGCGACATTTCGAATTTTCAACGGGAATGGAAACTGGTTTCTCTTCAATTTTTTTAATGAAAAATTTACTCACGCGAATGATTCGTTTTTTAGTACGTTATTGAAATTCTTGGATTTTTAATTTCTCTTGTATTCTTCGGTTTTCCTGTGAAGTAATCTTTATACAGTGCTACATGGAAATCATGTAAAAATTATCTTGTTCGACATAATTGTGATGCATCGCTACAGATTCGCAGAATCTGTTCTCCCCGTGAATTATTTTGAAGTGTCATGTAAAAATTGCCCTTTAACTTAAAAATTGCGTTTCGTTCCATAAAAGTTCTAGAACTCAAGAGGAAAAATTTATTTTTCGCTCTACATTTTTTCGAGTTTTTGTGTGAAACTTTCTGAAAAGAGCATTTCGCATCACTTTTACGTTTGTCACGTAATTTTACCTGATGTTTTTTCATACTTTCGCGTAAAAATTTCTTCAACTTTTCGACGGAAATATAAATACTTCATACTCTCTCATTTTTCACGCAATTGCCCAAATTAAAAAATGACTCAGACGAATATTTAAAATAATTTTTAATGCATTACTGAAATTTTTGTAATTTTACTTTCTCCTGTGCCCATCGGTTTTCCTGTGAATTAATCCTGGGACAGTGTCATATCTCCGAGGACAAGTGCACATAGTCGTGTAGGGGTTACACTTCTCGGAAATTTTCATCCCATCATCGTTCCACCGAAATTCAATGAAGGGTAAAACTGTAAAATTCAGTTTACTAATTCTATAAAAATTTATAGAAATCAGAAAAACTCAATTGAATACACTTTAAAATCTTCAATCAATTAAAAATTCACTCTAATTTGGTCCTGAAAATTTATTTTATCATTGAAAATTCAGATAAACTTGGGAAATCCCGTCTTTCTGCTCGCGAGGAATCCGAAATTTACCGATTCCTCTCCTTAAAAATCGAATTCAATTTCACTCTCTCGAGAATGACTCCAAACTGTCCACGAAAATTCACCATTTTCCCCCAGCTAGAACTTCATTCTCTCCCATTTTTTCACGCAATTTTATTTAATAAAACTTCACTCATGCGAATGTTTGTAATACCATTAACGCCGACCCAATTGCCATTTGGTGCAAGCGTGCGCCCATACTCACACAAACAGACAATTATGTTTTTCGAGGCTAATTAAGTGTAATTGCGGTATCGAAAGTCGCCGAGGGGTATCAATACACCCAGTAAGCATGCAATCATGTCCACTTGGCGCTTGCATATTTGTGTGTCAATTCCTCCCCGCTCCCCC